TTTCATTTGTAACTGAAGTGTTTAACCAACATTATTTAATATTCATTTATCCTTATTTCTATTAGACGAAATCTTTTGTAACATAACTTAAACATGCTTTATTAGCGATATATGGCATGATATATTTTAATAAATTAATAGTTTCTCTAAATTAAAACTAAACACTGGATAGGTGGGAAAAAAACCTTCCCTATTCTCTTATGCTACAACCAGTGTGGAACATAAGCGTGCGTAGGTATGGATCACTGATCAAAGCATTCGATTTCTAGCCAATGGATCCTGAGTTCGAGTCGAACTCCACCTAATTCAGCCGGTGCAATTGGATGGTATTATAAAAGAAAAGGAATTCAGCGTAACGATGAGTTACTCTTTTCGGTGATATCATTCTTATGCTGAACAATCGCAGAAATATAGTAAACTACCTTAGCAATGAATGGAATGTATCAAAAAAATGTGTCATTAGAATTGTAACTTTTAGATGAAAACTAGGTAATGTAGAAAGCGTCAATCGAGTAGAAACTAAATTTAAATAAGTAAATTGCATGACTTAGTGTAACTGATGGGATTGAGCCGAAATCAATTAAAATTGAAATAGTTGAGGTCAGTGTCGATAAGGAGTAGAAGTATGATAGTTGTGGGTTGCAAGGGGGAAGGAAATTATTCATTTTTATTACTAGTTTGTTATTTTATTTCTTCACGTTCCCAATAGAACATAATGCCTCAGGCTAGAGCTTTAAACTTTTGGTAGTAGTGGGTTTTTTTTCCGTGTACTCTATAAATGACTACGAATTCGGTGTTTAGAGTCAATCAAAAATGCCAGAATAGAGATACAGGAGGATCTTTCTCCTCCTTTTCAAAACCATGAGAGTAAGTATTCGATGATAAATGTGGATAGCAAACACTGAGTACGGCCAACATCTCTAGCTCCATAGAAGCAGAAAATTTACTATATATATATATATATATATATATATATATATATATATATATATATGCGTTTGTACAGCCTGAGGATGATATCGGTGAAAAGATTAACTCTTCACTGAACTCCTTTTATTCTGTGTGACAGAATGGAGATTTCTAAGTTGCTTAAACTGGTAATTAATATCATACCTTACACAATAAGTGTAGATCATGCCTGGTGTACCAAAATTCTTTTCCGTGTACCTGAGACCTGACTAACGAAGTGACTAGAAAATATACAGTAAAGCAGCTGCAAATGCTTTGAAAAATGCAAAATATTTATGCTAGCGATAAACATTGCTGCAACTGTATTAGACTGTTTGCTAGATATACCACACAGTGAAACAGTATTATACAAGTGGCATTCAAACAAACAATTAGAAACAAGCGTTATCGGTTAATGATCCAGTGGAGCCTTTAAAACAAAACAATCCAGTTTATCTAACACCCTGCTTGAATGATTGTCAGGTCAAATTCATAGGTCAGAGTAGTAGAACAGGTACAGTCACACTAGAGAAGCATAAAAACCTAGCAAAATCTAGATTGGTTGACCCAAATAAGATAAGAAAACCGGAGAATAGTTCAGCTATACCACTCAATACATGCAATTACACACAACCATACAATGGGATGGGATAAAATGACAGTTTTAAAATCTAATATAACAGAGTGGAGGGAGAGATTGTTAATGGAAGCTTTGTTTATCGAATCAACTGCAACCACTTGTAATAAGAATGATCCAACACTTGTCTCAGATATCTGGAAAATTCTACTACTCCAAAGACGACAAATAGGAAAGGAGGACAAAGGAAACTATAAAACTCAAGTTTCGAAGTCGTATAACTATAATTGATATGATTATGAACAATAAATTTTGTTCGAAACGTCATCCAGTAAATACTAATACTGTTTCACTGTGTGATACATCTAATAAACAAACTAAAATGGAATTACTTACTACCAAAGTGCCCAAATTTTACACATATATTAATCACTGCAACTGTATAAACAACAATAATTAGAATTATGTTGTCGAATAACACTATAATCAGACATTTCTGTGGTAAATATCTTGGATGGACAGTTAATGAAGTGTACGATTTCGACAAGAATTGCGTGTCTCCTCAAATGTAATCACAATATATAAATACTATCGCATGTTTAATAAAAATTTAGTCTGGTTCATTTTTTTCCCGTTGATAAACAAGTATTTCTAATTGTTGGATTTTCTAGAGAGCTGATACTGTTACACCAGAAGATAGGGAAGTTAGTAACGAGATCTTGTTATAAAGAAAAAGACATCATATTTAAACAATTTTAACCAGATTAAAAGTCTACTAGATCAGTGAACGAAAAACACTCTTGTGATTGGTTGGTGATGGGCCCAAGACTAAACAATGTTACGAGAAGTTATCCAATGAGGTTATTTCATGTCCACAACGTACACTAGGTCCAGATTTGAAGAATACACACCTCTACTTCTACAGACATTGACTCAAAATGTTGATTTCACTTCTGACTGCTTGCTATTACTCTGCATCTGTATACTCCTTATAAATCTTTCCAGTGGCATACGCCACAAACGATCCAAAATTCACCTTTTTCTCCAAACTAAGAGTAATAATAAAGAGCATTACTAAAATTGACGGAAACTAAATTGATTGATTTTTCTAGTGTCTGACGAACAACACTCTGAAGTTTTGCTGTATTAACTGTGGAACATGGTGCTGACAGTTCATTCCTGACGAGTAAAAATTCATCAGAACAGCTATACACCAGTGACACTGGATGATAATTGCATCAGGTAAGAATCACTTGTTAATAAATTTCAACCATTTACGCTAAATTCTTATCGGAAAATAAATGTCCAGAATTAAATAACAGTCGGCGATCTGTTTAAAACATGGGCTATCGAAAGCTTCCATCATTATACTACACATTATTTCTCTTGTTCACTTTGTTTCAGTTTATCAAAATATGATCTCTAATGACATTATTTACTTTCGCGACTATTTAAAACATTTAAAACCTGTGGATTCGCAAGTTTCTACCACACATGGGAAAAAAACATAATTCTGATCGGTGACGTATCCAAACTTATATGAGATAACTCTTCCTGTGTTATGTCATTGGGTTTCAAAATGTTTTCCTGGACTTTTTATAATCGACTTTCAACTAAATTTTCAAGTATTGGTTTTGTAGGGATTTGGTTTGATTTTATGGAGGATTTTCATTGGTTCTCTAACTGATGTCAGCTCATGATTAAATGCTCCATACAATTTCAACTAAATGTCTAGCATTTCTCGAAAAAGACAAAGAGGAAATATCAGAATGGATTGTTTTGTGCTTCAGATTCTATAGCATTGCGTTACATGATCTACTGCCAATTAAGATTTTATTTGAAGATCCTGCAATGAACAAAAAAATATTATGCAATAGAGCTCATCGAAAGTCCTGTGCGTTGTATAATTACTGTCCAGAACAAAGCTTTTGTTACTGATTATCCTTGTAGCGTGTGCTACTGATAAGATTTATCAGTAGTATATAAAGAGACGATCATCGGCATAAAGATATCAGATAGCAGAAAGATACATTTGACGTCTAATAGAGCAAATGAACCACAGTTGCGGCAAAGCAAGAGAGACACGAAAAGAATACAAAGAAATACAATACGAAGGGCAGAAGTATCACACCATGGAAGAACTGTACAAATGACGATTTTAACTGAATAAAAATGTCTATTAAAATTTTCAAAAGAATGGATACTGAACAAAGAATACTCTTTTCTATAACTTCATCATCAGGCTCGACAGTCATATATACATTATAGTGAATGAATGAATTAGTGTTATGAACAACATTCATGTTGTTTAAATAACATCGAATCAATAATACTGATAGATTACAGCTCAATAGCATCAACATATCGGCCGTTGCTCTACTAAATTGATTTTTCGTGCTCAAGAACATCTCCCACTATCGCTAAGTAAAGGTGTAGGTAAAACCATTAACTGTTCGATATTGGACCATTTGGTGCAAACCGGCCACAAAGCCAGACAGCGTGGAAGAATCCTTCTCTATATTCTACCGGGTGCCAAATAAATCCCCAAAATCATCGAAGCACCACATGCTCCAAACAGCAGAGGCTATTGCAATTCGGCTCAAACAACCAGTGCTCTATGTTCAAAAGAAGCAAGTGCAGCCCATACTACTGCCCTGTAGAAACTATAAATTCATGAATTTGTAATATTATCCTTCCTAATTCTTCTGACATTCAGTTTATTGTTATGTTGATGCTATTGAGCTGTAATCTATCAATATTATTACTGATTCGATGTTTTTGATGTGGTTTTGTTCTCTGAGCTGGATGGTTAGTTTGCGAAGCTTTCATCACCCTACTGGGTAACATCTTCAGCGCATACTTCAATTTGATTCAATGTTATTTAAACAACATTAATGTTGTTCATAACACTAATTCATTCATTCACTATAATGTATATATAACTGTAAAGCCTGATGATGAAGTTATCGAAAAGAGTACTCTTTGTTCAGTATCCATTCTTTTGAAAATGACGACTTCACAAAAAGATGTACATAATTTCGCTGTATATATAGAGATACCAAATTCCAAACTGACATGCCTTTATCAAGTCTTTCGTTTTCTACCGTAACACCATGAAATAACGGTTTTCCAGCGTACTCCTTTGGCAGACAGACACAGTGACACTAGTGGAAATTCAACTCAGAATAACTTCAGAAGTATTCGATAGCTATTAAAATTAACTGTTAAGAATAATTATAATTCATCATCTATCATTAGTTTCGTCGTAATTTTTTCTACCTCGAAATAAATTTTGTTAACATTAGATGGCCTCTACAGTTTCAGATGAACTTCTTAGGGTTTACTATCAGATAGAAGCTTCCATTATTATAATTATTATTAAACTTCCCTTACGGCCATTTTAGTCACTTTAAATTATAGAACACATCAATAGAATACCATTACATTCACTTAAGCAAAAAAAAGGAAAACTTACATATGGTAACAGTGATGGTTGTGTAATTTCTTCAGGGATAAATCCAACAGTTAAAAAATCATTACAAGAAGTAAAATTGATAGAAATTTTGAGTCTGTGAAACCAATAGGATGTATGTCCTTCGGGGTAGGAATAATGAAGCAGTCTTCCATTTGGATATACTTTGATCTAGTTGGTAACAAAAATATATATGGAAAGCAATATATGTATAAGAATGTGTTATGAATGAAAAATATACATTCGTAGTGCTAAATAAATAGAATTATTGAGATTACATATTATATATATATATATATATATATATATATACAACCTCTATTCATATGTTTCAAATTATCCCAAACTCTTCCATAAGTAGAACAAAGAGATACATCTAGTCCAAAGGATCAACAAACCATCTTTTCCATTTGTATAACTGTATTTGTATCTAATATATCCTGAAGCTTGAAGAAGACAGCAAAACGGATTAGGTCATCTTATGTGAATCCAGACGAAAATCCACTGGTACGAGAAATCTTAACCGGATAGTTAAATATCTGATTATGATCCATTCACATACAATATTTGCTACCATCTTAAGTCATCAATAAAGCTAGTTTAAAATGTGTATTACGTACTGGACTCAAAAAGTGACAATCCTATGCCTAGTCCACATCGGCCTAATGGGTGTCTATTTCTTAAAAATGCCAAACAAGGAAGAAACGGCTCTCCACCTTTATTTGGTTTTCATGGGTTCATCCAACGCATATGAGTCAGACGACAAATATAACTTAAATTGAAGCAGACCTTCTCAGACATTACCAATGTGTATTAAACAACTGTTCATTAGTCCAAAGCTTAAGGACAGAATCTCCAAAGTTCTAATGGAAATTTAGGATCAGTGAAATCTGCGAAAATGAGTATCAGACGACTTATTTTGGATGGTAGTCGTGCCTCATTCATAATTTAAGAACAGATTTAGTACTTCAATTGATGAAAATTTAACTTTACTGTTTGAAAACATGATCATGACGGTTGTGATAATGTGAGAGTTATTTGATAAAAATAAAAATTTCAAACACTGCTCATATCCAACTACAGCATTTAACCTGCCATTAGTTCCTCGTTTCACTGTTTGTTAAATTTTATTCCACTTATCCAATAAAAATACCACAAGAAATAAATTAATGGCTAGTCAACCTCACTAAATGCCTTCAGCAATGATACACTTAGTGATACGTTTACGAAGTTGGGCTACCGAGAAAAGAAATAATGTAACATCGGCGTTGGTACCGAGAATGATGTTAGAAAAATACATAAAATAATAATTACTGACTGCAGCCCAACAAACGTAAAAATTGGTTTTGAACGTTTTAATGAGATGAATATTCGTGTGATACAGTCATATACCTAAGATTACTGACTTTCATGTTTTTAACACTCTTCATGTTTTCGAATATCTCAAATCTCTAAAACCTTCCCAAAGCCTTAGTCCTGATGGTGTATTTACTGTTGTCCTCAGAAGATGTGCTGATATTTTTTGTCATCCTCACACAAACATTTTCAGTGCTTCTTTTTTCACTGATGTTGTACCCATAATATGCAAAGACATTAAAAATATCCCGGTACCTAAATCATGTACTGATATGAATGTTAAATTTAGACCTATTGCAATCACTTTTCCTTTTTGAATTTAATGGAAAAATTACTTTTACCCAACGTTGAAGCTTCCTAAAACAGCTTTACTGACGCCAAACAGTTTGCATATAAACAGGGTAGGTGTACTTTAGACGCTACTGCTGTCTTACATCATAATATTATTTCCTTAGACAAAAGAGCCAGATATGTTCGATGTACCTTCCTTGACTATACATCTCGTTTTGACTCTGTACCCAGATGTATTCAGTTGAATAAGCTTCCCTTGACACAGCCCGAGTCCTGGACCGTCAACTAGACGTCTTCCTCTCTCTCTCTCTGACAGAATGCAGTATAATGTATGTGGAAGGGGGGGGAATCTTCCATTGCGTTGCTTACTCAAGCCGGTGTCTCAACATAGTAACTGAAATCTAATGGTGCAAAATAACAGATTCTCAGTCGTTAGTATATTTACAAAATGGTTTCAGTCTATCAATTTTTGTGTGCTACAATCACACTTTCATATTTCCTCCTCTAGTTTTGTATTATGCGTATCCGAACTCCATTTGACTTTAGTTAGGTATTCTTGTGGGATGTGCAGTTTAAACATTTACATAGTATGCTATCAATACATTTGTGATTTCGCTCAAACACAAACATAGGGAAGATCACAGAGTACTTTAGACGTAGATTGTGTCTTATTTTGCATACACTGTGCTATATTTAAAAATCTAGAAAGCAAGATGTAGAGGCTGCAAAAAGTACCTCAACGGAGTCAGTGGCTTCTCTCATCGTTTTACATTAGTACCAACTAACCGTCAGTCACCACAACATAAATTTGTTTTCATTAATACAAAAGGATAACTGTGGACTTGGATACAGTAAAGAAAATGTACAGATTTTCAACAGAGAAAAACAAGAGAAAGGATATAGAAATTTAGGAAGTTTAGTGTAGAATACCACTGTCAGAAAATCAATGGAAAATCAACAGACAATATTTACAGCAAATGCGAAAAAAATTTCATAATATAAGCCAGTGGTGTTACAAAGCTCAACAAAAACAAATTGATTTTTGAGCTGCAAATACTTTCCATGATCCTTTAACTCCATAATACAATCTGCAATATCTTTCTGAAAAGCGCTTGATGACAGTTTTAAAATCTAATGTCACAGGGTGGAGGAAGAGATTGATAACAGAAGCTTTGTCTATTGAATACGTCTAATAGGAATGATTTAACAACTGTCCAGGCGGACATCTCAAAAATCCTACTACCCCTACGACTAACAAGAGAACGTAGGGTTAACGAAAAGCGCTTTGATCTAGCATGATGCTTTTTCTTTTACTAGTTACTGTTCTCAGTGTTTCACCTGTTTTATCTTGAGTTCTGGCGAATGGTGTAATAATGCCTTTTGAGTAAGATACAGATTCTTACAGCGGGAATACAGAGAGCTGTGACACTTGTTTTGCTGCTAAATGCACGCTAAGACAAACAAATAATGTCATATGTCGAAAATACTATTTGCTTTTGTGTTCCCAAAAGAATGAATTGGTTATGTTATTAATTAAGAGAGTATGCTAGAAACACTCAGAAACTACTTATTGACGGTACTAGGGTTCTATTTTGCAATTTGAATATAAATATCTAAACCAATCAACTAAGCTGAAAATGTTAGAGATTCGCTCTATACACATAAAAATTAACCTTAGTATATGACTGCATTTACACAAATCACTCATTGAATTTGCAAAATAGACATAAGGTTCTAAAAATAACGCAATATCTAAAATCAAACATCACACAAAAACCAACAAGAGAGAAGAGAACGTAAAGTTATCAAATTAGATGGTAAAAAGTGAATCAAATCAGGATATCTCAGGGTTCTGTTTTAAATCAAAATACGAGATAACTGCAACATTCTAGATCATATTTAGAACTCTACAAAGATGATGACAGACCGGAGTCAGTATCTCCATACTTCATGAATTCCTCCTAAAAAAGTTGGTAATCATCATATGGTTCAAGAAATCTAAGTTCCTACCAAAAATACTATACATTGAAAAGAAGTTAAATAGATTTCACTCTCACTAGTTTATTCAATTATGTGTTAGTCTCTATTAATTATTGTGGAATGATAAAAAAGCCAAGACTAAGGACAAAATGTCTAATATATTGCTACTAACTTTTAAATTGATCACTAACAGCCTCTTTGTGACAAAACACCTAAAACTGAATGTCATACATTATCATCATGTGTATCAAGGAAATGCAAATGGAGGCACCTATTAAGAATTCTTCTCCATAACCTACCAAGCTGATATAGATAATCATAGTAAGAGTAATATCACCACTACATTTTGCATTTCCAAAAAGGAAAACATAATTTTCTCGTAATATCACGAACAGACGGAGAATATTTCTATCTTCGTCGGATATCACAGTTATTCTACCAAAATAATTGGCATAATATTTAATATCGCAAATACCAGCTCCATAAAATTGATTTAAATGAAACTTGATTTATTAATATTCCATCCATAATGAATAGTATCCGTAAAAAAATAAGTTATTTGACTGTGATCACAGTAAGAACAGAAGCAATCTGAGCAGAATAAAACTGCCCACACAAAAGCTAGTGGCTTACGTAAGAGTTTATTTCACTCAGAAGATTGAGCTCTTTCACCTATTCATCAAATCCTGGAAAAATTATCACCATTGAGGAATGACTGGTCATTTGACCAATAAAAATTACTAAGGCATTTCAGTTTTTTACCTCGTTGTCACTTACTTCGTGGCGAGCTACATGGCGCAGCTCTCAGTGCTTTGCATATATTAGGTTGACTAAAATATAAATAGGTAGGTGATTAGTTAGAAAGACCAATAGAACATTTCTGTCATTAATTAAAGCTTCATTATGCATATAAGACGTCATAAAGAATAATTTTAACTTGTAAAACAGCTTTCGTGCACCGAAATAATTGCAAATCAATAGTCAGTACGTTCACATGAACTTTCAGACAGTAAATCTAGCCAATGAATGATCAACATTGCAACTATATATACGAATTATATCTCCATAACATGTCTTTTAACATAATTATTTTGGGACTATCTTTCGGAACCCACGAACCTTATTTTAAAAATATTCATACACAAAAACATCAGTACATGACAATATTATTGAAGTAAATACTTGAACTCAGTAAAGATGTGTACTCACTTTACAAGCATACAGCAGATTGTTCCACGATGAGTTGTACACACCAGTTACAAAACTCATTTGCCGTGAGAGTGAAAATCTTCGGAAAAAAGGATGATCCTGACAGTAATTTGAATTGACAGGTAGTATAATGTCTAAATTACGGTTAAATCTGATAAAACAACGTACATTCTTCATAGCTGCTGAGTACTGCAGAGAAAAAATTAAGCCATGTCAAAGCAAGTAAGCATAAGCGCATGTCAGTATATCCGTTTCAACGAGCGATAACGTGAGTTCAACTTATGCCTTTCCATGAAGTTTGAAATGCTGCCGAAATCCAATGTATGAAGTTGACGCAACTTACCTTCACAAAAGCAACTTTAGGTTATATAATATTTTAAAGCGACAAGAATATGGAGGGAATTACCATAGTCTGATACTTACTCCCTAAGATTTATAGCTTCGAATCTGTGTTACTACAGAGTGTAGTGCACATTGTACCTTTGAACTTTTGTTTAAACTGACTCACCCACGGTGATCCACGTTTTACCTTTTGACTTGTGAGTCTTCCTTACGTTCATAGGTTCGCTCTCTTGTTGTGCTCTCTTTCTGCACACTCTCCGAGCCTACCTCCAGCAACGTCTGCAGATAAGTTGTACGACTTCTTTATTTATTGAATTTTATATTTCGTTGAATAAAATATAATTCTCCCAGGTACTCTTGTCACATCAAGTCTTTTTACAACGATACAGTTCGTCAGTATTTGCGCGTCCAGTAGTGTACTGCTAAGCTTAGTAGGTCGCAAAACGGTGAAGAAGTTTGTAAGGGTGTTTAGAGTATAGGTCCACTCTAAGCCGTAGTAGAACTCTTACAAGTGGTGAGCCCGTTTTCACCGTTTTCCGCTATAGTAGCTTAACGTGTTAACGATTCTTTTTACGTACCGTTTATTTTGTTATTTTTTTTCCTTTCACGCACGGTTATAAAGATTCGATTTGTTTTCTTTGTACTTATATTGGTTTTTTTATCACCTTGTTAATATTGTGCCCTGTGTGCAAGATGGCTGACAACAGTTCTGCGTCAGAGATGGCTATAACGCTGCAACTCCCCGCCTTCTGGACACATCGTCCAGCTGCATGGTTTAATCATATAGAGGCTCAGTTTGCCATTAGACACATACACTCACAAGAGACCAAAGTAAACCACGTGATTGTGAGCCTACCCGAAAGTGTCATAGACGAGGTGGCTGACGTTCTCGCAGATCCGTCTCCGGATCGGTACGAGCGGCTCAAACAGGCGTTAATTCAACGAGTCGCACTTACTGACCAACAGAAAGTGCAGGAACTTTTCCGCGATGTTCAGTTAGGTGACCGCAAGCCCTCACAAATGTTGAGGCAGATGAAGCAGCTAGTGGCGGACTTTAAAATTGACGAGGTTTTTCTCAAACAACTTTGGCTTCAAAGATTACCTCAGGCAGTCCAGGGTATCTTAGCACCGATCTACAAGTACCCCTTACAGGAGATAGCCGAGGCAGCTGATAGAGCCGTAGAGGCCATCAATCCCAAAATTGGCATTTCCGCAACAGTAACTGCTGCTCCCGCTCAGACTAAAGATTCGTCTGATGGGGGGTCATCAAGCTTTGACGCGGTGGCCCATATAGCCAAGCTATACGAGGAGATCTGTAGTATACGACAGGAGATGAACTCCAGGAGTCGTGGACGCAGTCCCTCGAGTTCGCGTAGTAGTAGACCCTTGCCACGTGCTAGCAGCAAGCGCCGACAGTCCCGAAGTAACCAGCCTGGAGTGTGCTGGTATCATCGACGTTACGGAGCAAAAGCCCAAAAGTGCACTCGCCCGTGCACCTTCGATGTTCAACAGTCGGGAAACTAGCAAGCCAGCACGTACTGGCGACTAACGTCGCTGGCGAACCACTCTCATGTCGCCTCTTCTATGTTACCGACCGTAACACTGGGATACGCTTCCTAATTGATACCGGAGCAGAGGTCAGTGTAATCCCACCCACAGTAGAGGAGCGCAGGCGGCCAATGTCTCTTCAACTACGAGCCGCAAACGGTTCGCCAATTGCTACGTTCGGCAGGCGCTTTATAGATCTTAACATCGGTTTGCGTCGTTCACTTCGTTGGGTCTTCCTGGTGGCAGACGTTACCACAGGTATAATTGGCATGGATCTATTGCAGCACTACCAATTACTGGTAGATACAGGTAATCATAAGTTAAAAGATCCTGTCACAAACCTCTCCGTCAGCGGTATCGTCACACAAGGCCCAGCCCTCAGCCCGGTATATGCCACACCCACTAGCACTGGTCCTTATTCGCATATACTGCAGTCTTTTTCAGATTTGTTCAAACCTAGCAGCGGCCTGCCATGTGCGACTTCCAACGTCAAACACCATATTGTCACTACTGGCCCGCCAGTTTTCGCAAAGCCGAGGCGACTATCCCCAGAAAAACTAAAGGTTGTCAAAGCGGAGTTTGAGCATATGCTGGAAATGGGGATTATTAGGCCATCCAGCAGCCCGTGGTCCTCACCGTTGCACCTGGTACCTAAGAATAACGGTTTAGATTGGCGTCCTTGTGGCGACTACCGCAGACTAAACGCACAAACTGTTCCCGATCGCTACCCTGTCCCGCACATACACGATTTAACCGCCTCACTCAAGGGAGCTCGAGTATTCAGCAAACTGGACCTTACACGGGCTTACTACCAGATTCCCGTCGACCCCGAAGATATACCTAAGACTGCTGTGATTACACCGTTTGGCCTGTTCGAGTTTCTTCGAATGCCTTTTGGCTTACGGAACGCTGCACAAACCTTCCAGCGTTTTATACATGACGTTTTGCGCGGGCTTGATTTCGCCTTCGCCTATCTGGACGATATCTTGGTAGCTAGTCCAGATGAAGCCACTCATCAACTTCATTTGCAGACAGTTTTCCAAAGACTTGTGACACACTCCCTCACACTCAACTTGCCGAAGTGTCAGATTGGAGTCACTTCCCTGAAATTTTTGGGACATAGGATAGACAAAGATGGAATTTATCCGTTACCTGACCGGGTAGAAGCTATTCAAAACTTCCCTCTACCCACTTCTCCCAAGGCACTACGCACTTTTCTCGGGATGGTTAGTTACTACCGTCGCTTTATCCCACAGTGTGCTCATATCGTGACCCCCTTGACTGACATGCTTAAAGGGAAATGCAAGTCTTTGGTGTTCACTAAGGAAGCCTCGACAGCTTTTGCAGCTATCAAGAAAGCTATTGCTGACGCCACAATGTTGGTCCATCTAGATGTTCAACTTCCAATCAGCATCTCCGTAGATGCCTCTAATACTGCGATCGGAGCCGTCCTTCAACAGCGTATGGCTAATGTATGGCTACCGATTGCTTTCTTTTCACGTAAACTTACCGCATGCGAATCTCGATACAGCACATTCGGTAGGGAACTTCTCGCTGTCTACGCTGCTGTCAAGCATTTTCGTCACTTCGTGGAAGGCCGGCAATTTACGGTATTTACCGACCATAAGCCATTGACGTACGCCCTCCACACTACTTCAGACCGGTATTCACCGCGAGAATCACGCCATTTAGACTATATTTCCCAGTTCACTTCTGATATCCAGCACGTTTCTGGATCGGATAACGCGGTAGCAGACGCTTTGTCTCGCGTATGTGCTACGTCCGTACCACCAACCATCGATCTTCATAAAATGGCCGAACTCCAACTGAACGATTTGAACTTAGAACACCTGTCAAATAAAACCTCACTGAAAATAGAACGCGTCCCCTTGCTAAACAGTGAGGCAACTATACTTTGCGATATGTCAACTGGTACTCCTCGACCGATTGTTCCCACGTCTTTACGCCGAACTGTGTTTGAGTCACTCCACAACCTCTCCCATCCTGGCATACGAGCAACGGACAAGTTGATTTCTGCGAGATTTGCGTGGCCCGGTATGAACCGTGATGTGCGTCAATGGACACGTGCTTGTGTGCAATGCCAACGTGCTAAAGTCACCAAGCATAACATCACGCCGTTGGGGACGTTTGCGACCCCAGACGCTCGGTTCCATCATATCCACCTGGATATAGTAGGGCCTCTGCCCCCGTCTAACGGCTGCTCGTATTTACTCACATGTGTGGATCGTTTCACACGTTGGCCGGAAGCCATTCCGATACCTGATGTAACGGCTCAAACCGTCTGTCGTGCCTTCATGGATGGCTGGGTTGCCCATTTTGGATGTCCCGCAACTGTCACTACCGACCGCGGACAACAATTTGAATCCACAAGCTTCAAAGAATTGTTAGAGATGCTGGGATGCAAACGCATTCGCACAACCGCGTATCATCCCGCGGCAAATGGCCTAGTAGAACGTTTCCACCGTCAACTCAAAGCTGCGTTGATGGCAGTGGACAACAGTAAGTGGACAGATTCGCTACCACTGGTCCTGCTTAGCATCCGGGCTACGCTTAAGGGGGATCTGCAGTGCTCGCCAGCTGAATTGGTGTACGGTACCACCATGCGTTTACCAGGCGAGCTAATCGCTCCCGAAACTTTCGAGCCAAATTTCCCGGATACCACCCGTTACGCTCAGCAACTTAAAAGTTTTATGCAGCGACTCCGACCAGTTTCCACACGCACTCAGAACCGAAAGGTTCAGGTTGATCGGCGACTTGATGACTGTACACACGTTTTCGTGCGTCACGACGCCATACGAAAGCCATTACAACCACCGTATGACGGGCCTTTTAAGGTCCTTAGTCGTAAAGATAAATTTTTCGTTATTGACCGATGCGGCCGCCCAGACACTGTCAGCATAGACAGACTTAAAGCGGCATACACTGAAGAACCTTCACCCTCCCCATCGGCTCAATCAAATAGCCCCACTGAACCTAGTCCTTGTCCAGACTCAACTACCTCACCTCCGGTGGTGAATGATGATTCTCCTACCGTCACCAGTAAGACCCCTGTCACACGTGCTGGTCGACGTGTTCACTGGCCCAAGAGGTTCGTAGAATTCTTTCACTGAACTAATCCATAGGTAAGGCTACTAGTGATTTTTTATTCCTTGTCACAATTTCTTATTCAATTCTGCTATATTTAATCTATTTGGTCCCGCTTCTGGGAGTAGTCGTTTTAACCCTCACTAATCCTTTTAATCTTTATCTCTCGTTACAGAGGACCAGCATCAGTTTGTTTTTACCCCTAATTTTTCATCTCAATCTACTCGCTAGATCAGTTGGCTTCTCATGTCATCTTGTAACCCACACCAAAAGAGGAATTATGAACAGTATATTACCTTTCACTGCCCATTTTCTTCCAAAAAAAAAATTAATTATT